GTTTTCAATGTGAGCAGTGTTTTCAGTGTAGACAGTGTTGTCAGTGTAGACAGTGTTGTCAGTGTACACAATGTTGTCGGTGTGCACAGTGTTGTTACTGTGGATATTGTTGTTACTGTGGATAGTGTTGTCAGGGTAGAAAGTGTTGTCAATATAGATAGCGTTGTCAGTGTGTTCAGTGTTGTCAGGGTAGAAAGTATTGTCAATGTGGACAGTGTTTCAGCGTAGACAGTGTTGTCAATGTGTGTGTCATCGTTGTCAGGGTGAAAAACGCTGTCAGGTCGGACAGTGTTGTCAAGGAGGGCACTGTTGTCAGTTTGGACAGTGTTCCTAGCGTGGACAGTGTTTTCAGTGTGGACAGAGTTGTCATGGTTGACAGTGTTGCCAATTTTTTTCAGAGTGGACAGTGTTGTCAGGGAGGACAATATTGTCAATGTGAAAAGTGTTGTCAATGTCGACATTGTTCTCAGTGTGGATAGTGTTGTCAGTCTGGATAGTATTGCCAGTGTGGACACTGTTTTCAATTTGGAAAATATTGTCAGGGAAGACAGTGTTTTCAGTGTTGCCAAAGTAGAGAATGTCGTTATGGAGGACAGTGGTGTCATGGTGGACAATGTTGTCAGTATTGACAACATTGTTGTCTGTGTACGAAGTGTTGTCAATGTGGATAGTTTTTTCATTGTGAAGAGTGTTTACGAGGAAGACAGTGTTGTTAGTGTAGAAAATTTTGTCAATGTGCTTAGTGTTTTCAGTGTAGACAGTGTTGTCAATGAGGAGAGTGTTGTCAGGGTGGACAGTGTTGTAAGGGTTGACAGTGTTGTCAGGGTGGACAGTGCTGTCAGTGAAGACATTGTTTTCTGGGAGGAGTGTTGTCAGGGTGGGCAGTATTGTAAGTGTTGACAGTATCATCAGTGTACAATGTTTTCTGTGGATAGCATTCTCAGTTTGCACGGTGTTGTCAGTGTGGGGAGTGTTGTCAGTGTTGTGAGGGTGGACAGTTTTGTCAGTGTTGACAATGTTGTCATTGTGCACAGTGTTGTCAGGATGTACAATGTTGTCATTAAGACACAGTACACAACTAGCACCATCACACACAGTAATATACAGTACACAACTAGCACTATCAAACATAGTAATATACAGTACACAACTAGCACCATCACACACAGTAATATACAGTACACAACTAGCACCATCACACACAGTAATATACAGTACACAACTAGCACCATCACACACAGTAAGACACAGTACACAACTAGCACCATCACACACAGTAAGACAGTACATAACTACCACCATCACTCACAGTAAGACACAGAACACAACTATCACCATCACACACAGTAAGACACAGTACACAATTAGCACCATCACACACAAGATACAGTACACAGTACTCAACCAGCAAATAAATGTGGGGGGTGGCATGAAAGAATCAAGGAGACATCCCCAGACATAATAGCACTCACAGAAACGAAATTCACCAGGATAACAGATACAATCTTTCCACCTAGTTATCAAATCCTGGGGGAAAAAAAGAGGAGCAGAGGGAAATGAGGAATTGCACTGCCCACTAAAAACTGATGCTGATTTGAAGAAGTGGAAAGAATGGATGGAATGGGTGAAAGGGACTACATAGTTGGAACAATGCAGTCTGAGGGCCATAAGGGGGTAATTGCAGTAATGTACAACCCTATACAGAATTACTGGCCAAGAGAAAAAATACAAAGAGAGCAAGAGAGCAAAGGTAGACACACTAGCCGAGGTAGCCAGAAGAGCTCACACAGGTAGAGCAAAGTTATTAGTTATGGGTGATTTCAATCACAAAGAAATTGACTGGGAAAACATGGAGCCCCATGGGGATCCCAAAATGTGGAGTGCCGTGATGATGGAAGTGGTGCTGGAAAACCTCTTGCATCAACATGTTAGAGACACTAGCAGAGAGAGAGAGAGAGAGATGAGGATGATCCAGCAAAATTGGACCTAGTAGTCACCTTGAGTAGTTCGGAGATCGAAGATATCACATACGAGAGGTCCCTTGGAGCTAGTGATCACGTGGTTCTGTGTTTTGATTCCATAGTTGAGCTACAAGGGAAGAGGGTAGCAGGAATATGACGGGAAAACCAAACTACAAAAGGGGGGGGGGGACTACAGAGGTATGAGGAACTTCCTGCAAGACGTTCAGAATTGGCAGGAAAACCAGTAAAAGAAATGATGGATTATGTGACAACAAAATGCATGGAGGCAGAGGAAAGGTTTGTTCCCAAGGGAAACAGAAATAATGGGGAGACCAGAACTAGTCCTTGGTTCACCCAAAAGTGTAGGGAGGCAAAAACTAAGTACACTTGAGAATAGAAAAAGTACAGAAGACAAAGAGCTCAGGAAAATAAAGAGATCAGCAGAAGAGCCAGAAATGAGTATGCACAGATAAGAATGGAGGCTCAGCAACAATACGAAAATGACATAGCTTCGAAAGTCAAGTCTGACCCGAAGCTGTTGTATAGCTACATCAGGAGGAAAGACGGAGGAGTTCACAAGAAACGATCAAGATGTATGCGAGGAGCTCAACATGAGATTTAAAGAAGTATTTACAGTGGGGACATGAAGGACCCCAGGAAGTCAGAATAGGGAGGTACACCAACAAGTGCTGGATGAAATGCACACAACCGAGAAGGTGAAGAAGCTGCTATGTGAACTTGATACTTTATTGATGGTGGGACCAGGAAACATCTCTCCGTGGGATCCTTAGATTCAGATCAGAGATGCTGTGTGTGCCACAAAAATCTTCGATACATCCATTGGAACTGGGCTGTTACCCGAGGTATGGAAGTTGGCAATTGTAGTCCCAATCTTTAAGAAAGGAGACAGACCCGAGACATTCAGTTACAGACCTGTGTCACTGACATGCATAGTATGCAGAGTCATGGAGATCATCAGGAGGAGAGTGGTGGAACACCTAGAAAGACACATACTTATAAAGGACAACCAGCAGGGTTTCAGTGAAATAAGACACGAGAGAAAGGGGCGGATAGACTGCATTTTCTTGGGCTGCAAAAAGATCTTTAACTCAGTTCCTCACAAGAGGTTAATACAAAAGCTAGAGGATCAGGCATGCATCACTAGAAAGGCATTGCAGTGGATCAGACAATATCTGACAAGGAGGCAACATCGAGTCATGGTCTGTGACGAGGTGTCAAAGTGGGCGCCTGTGATGACTGAGGTTCCACAGGGGTCAGTCCTAGGCCCTGTGCTCTTTTTGGTGTATGTGAATGACATAATGGAAGAGATAGACTCAGAAGCGTCCCTGTTTGCAGATGATGTAAAGTTAATGAGGAGAATTAAATCGGTTGAGGATAAGGCAGGACTACATAGAAAACTGAACAGGTTAAAAGCATGGTCCAGCAACTGGCTCCTTGAATTTAACCTCGCCAAATGAAAAGTCATGAAGATCGGGGAAGGGTAAAGAAGACCGCAGACAGAGTATAGTCTAGGTTGCCAAAGACTGCAAACCTCACTCATGGAAAAAGGTCTTGGGGAAAGTATAATACCAAGCACATCTCCTGAGGCACACAGCCAGATAACTGCTGCAGCATATTGGCATCCGGCAAACATAAGAATAGAGTTCCGATACCTCAATAAGGAATCATTCAAGATTCTGTACACCACATACGTCAGGCTCATATTGGGATATGCAGCACCAGTTTGGAATCCACACCTGGTCAAGCATGTCAAGAATTTAGAGAAAGTTCAAAGGTTTGCAAGAAGACTAGTCCCAGAGCTAAGGGGATTGTCCTATGAAAAAATGTTAAGGGAAATCGGCCTGTCGATACTGGAGGACAGGAGGGTGTGGAGAGACATGATAACGACATATAAAATACTGCGAGGAATTGACAAGGTGGATAAAGATAAGATGTTCCCGAGATGGGACACAGAAACTAGGGGCCACAGTTGGAAGTTGAAGATTCCGATGAGTCAAAGAAATATTAAGAAATATTTCTTCAGTCATTAAGTTGTCAGGAAGTGGAATAGCCCAGAAAGTGATGTAGTAGAGGCAGGGACCGTACATAGTTTTGAGACGAGGTATGATGAAGCTCATGGAGCAGGGATAGAGAGGACCTAGTAGCGATCAGTGACGAGACGGGGCCAGCAGCTATGACTCGACCCCTGCAACCACAAAAGGTAAGTATAGGTGAGTACAGTACACAGTACACAACTAGCACCATCACACACAGTACACAACTAGCACCATCACACCGCACACAACTGGCACCATCACATACAGTACACAACAGTACACAACTAGCACCATCACACACAGTACACAACTAGCACCATCACACAGCACACAACTGGCACCATCACACACAGTACACAACTAACACCATCACACAGCACACACACACTGGCACCATCACATACAGTACACAACTAGCACCATTACACACAGTACACAACTAGCACCATCACACAGCACACAACTGGCACCATCACACACAGTACACAACTAGCACCATCACACACAGTAACACAACTAGCACCATCACACAGCACACAACTGGCACCATCACATACAGTACACAACAGTACACAACTAGCACCATCACTCACAGTACACAACTAGCACCATCACACACAGTACACAACTAACACCATTCACACAGCACACAACTGGCACCATCACACACAGTACACAACTAACACACTCACACAGCACACAACTGGCAACCATCACATACAGTACACAACTAGCACCATTACAACAGTACACAATTAGCACCATCACACACAGTAAGACATAGTACACAACTAGCACCATAATGCACAGTAAGACACACAACACAACTAAGACCATCACACACATAAGACACAGTGCACAACTAGCACCATCACACACAGTAAGACACAATACTCAACTAGCACCATCAAACACAGTAAGACACGGTACACAACTAGCACCATCACTCACAGTAAGACACAGGACACAGTGTAACACTTACTGAGCCACTCAAGTTGTAGTGTGGAGGTTACAGTGTGGTGTAGTTGTGGCAGGATAGAGCCAGCATGGTGGTCGCTCACCACTCTCAGTTGGAGTACCCTCAGCTTGTTACATGATTGTAGCAGCCTCAGTCCTCTATCAGTAAGACGACCAGCGAACACCTCCACATGACTCCTGTACCAGGATAAAACACTGATGAACACCTCACTCTTACTGACTCACCACTTACACTGTATATTACACCAAGTGGTAGTGAACAATGTTACACTGTATATTACACAAAGTCGTGGTGCAAAATGTCACACTGTATATTACACCAAGTAGTAGTGAACAATGTCACACTGTATATTACACCAAGTAGTAGTGAACAATGTTACACTATAAGACACCCAAGTGGTAGTGAACAATGCTACAATGCATATTACACCAAACGGTGGTGAACAATGTCACACTGTATGTTATACAAAGTGGTAGTGAACAATGTTACACTGTACATTACACCAAGTGGTAGTGAACAATGTTACACTGTATATTACTCCCAGTGGGGGTGAACAATGTTACATTATATATTACATCAAGTGGTAGTGAACAATGTTACACTGTACATTATACCAAGTGGTAGTGAACAATGTTACACTGTATATTACCCCCAGTGGGGGTGAACAATGTTACATTATATATTACATCAAGTGGTAGTGAACAATGTTACTCTGAATGTTACACCAAGTGGTAGTGAACAAGGTTACACTGTATATTACACCAAGTGGTAGTGAACAATGCCACAGTGTATATTACACCAAGTGGTAGTGAACAAGGTTACACTGTATATTACACCAAGTGGTAGTGAACAATGCCACAGTGTATATTACACCAAGTGGTAGTGAACAATGTTACACTGTATATTACACCAAGTTGTAGTGAACAATGTTACACTGTATATTTCACCAAGTTGTAGTAAACAATGTTACACTGTATATTACACCAAGTGGTGGTGAACAATGCTACACTGTATATTACACCAAGTGGTGGTGAAGAATGCTACACTGTATATTACACCAAGTGGTGGTGAAGAATGCTACACTGTATATTACACCAAGTTGTAGTGAACAATGTTACACTGTATATTACACCAAGTTGTAGTGAACAACGTTACACTGTATATTACACCAAGTTGTAGTGAACAATGTTACACTGTATATTACACCAAGTTGTAGTGAACAATGTTACACTGTATATTACACCAAGTGGTGGTGAACAATGCTACACTGTATATTACACCAAGTTGTAGTGAACAATGTTACACTGTATATTACACCAAGTGGTGGTGAACAATGCTACACTGTATATTACACCAAGTGGTGGTGAAGAATGCTACACTGTATATTACACCAAGTTGTAGTGAACAACGTTACACTGTGCATTACACCAAGTGGTAGTGAACAATGTTACACTGTGCATTACACCAAGTGGTAGTGAACAATGTTACACTAAGTGGTAGTGAGCAATGTTACTCTGTATATTATATCAAGTGGTATTGAACAATGTTACTCTGAATGTTACACCATGTGGTAGTGAACAATGCTACACTGCTTGTGCAATAATTGTATACATAAATATAAGTGATCTTACATGGGTATAGTAAGGAAGACGCAGCTTCACCACAGAAAGATATATCATAATTTACACCTGGAAAATCCTAGAGGTACTGCTGACAAATGTACACACAGATAGGACTGCCTACGAGAGCACAAGACCTTGCAGGTGGTGCAACATTCCCACAATGAACAGCACAAGACTGGGCAGGTGGTGCAACATTCCCACAATGAACAGCACAAGACTGGGCAGGTGGTGCAACATTCCCACAATGAACAGCACAAGACTGGGCAGGTGGTGCAACATTCCCACAATGAACAGCACAAGACTGGGCAGGTGGTGCAACATTCCCACAATGAACAGCACAAGACTGGGCAGGTGGTGCAACATTCCCACAATGAACAGCACAAGACTGGGCAGGTGGTGCAACATTCCCACAATGAACAGCACAAGACTGGGCAGGTGGTGCAACATTCCCACAATGAACAGCACAAGACTGGGCAGGTGGTGCAACATTCCCACAATGAACAGGACAGGACTGCAGGTGATAGAACATTCCCACAATGAACAGCACAAGACTGTGCAGGTGGAGCAACATCCCCATAATGAACAGCACAAGACTGTGCAGGTGGTGCAACATCCCCACAATGAACAGCACAAGACTGTGCAGGTGGTGGAACATTCCCACAATGAACAGGACAAGACTGCAGGTGGTTGAACATTCCCACAATGAACAGCATAAGACTGTGCAGGTGGTGCAACATTCCCATAATGAACAGGACAAGACTGCAGGTGGTAGAGCATTCCCACAATGAACAGAATAAGACTGTACAGTTGATGCAACATCCCCACAATGAACTGCACAAGACTGTACAGGTGGTGCAACTTCCCCACAATGAACTGCAGGGGCGCCTCGAGTACACTAAGAACATAAGAACATAAGAAAGGAGGATCACTGCAGCAGGCCTGTTGGCCCATACTTGGCAGGCCCTTTACAATCCATCCCACTAACAAAACATTTGCCTAACCCAATGTTCAATGCTACCCAAACAATTTTCAATGCTACCCATAATTTTCAATGCTACCCACAATTTTCAATGTCAAGGACCCAAGAATGTTCAACTGCCTCCCAGCATACATAAGGGGGATTACCCATAGACCCCTGACTGTCTTCAAGATCCCTGGTTATCTTCCTGATTCCTGGATGTCTTCAAGGCCCCTGGCTGTTCGGCAGTCTTAATGACCTCTGGCTATCTTCACGACGCCCAGCTGTTTAAGACCACTGTTGTTTTCATTATCCTTGGCTGTCTGTAAGATCCATGGCTGTCTTCAAAACCCCTAAGTGTCTTCAAAACCCCTCTCTGTCTTCAAGTCCCATGGCTGTCTTCAGGATATAAACTTGTCTTCAAGATAGAAGCCTGTCTTCAAAACCCCTGTTAACTTCAAGAAGTTTACTTGTTTTCAAAACCTGAGGTTGTCTTCAAGATTTTTGGCCGTCTTCAAGACCCCTAGTTTTCTTCAGGACCTTTTGTTTTTTCTAGACCCCTGTCTTAAAGACCCCTGTTAATTTCGAGAGCCCTAGTTATTTTCAAAAGCCGAGGCGGTATTCAAGACTCTTAGTTGTATTCAAGACCCTTATCTGTCTTCAAGACCCCTAATTGTCTTTAAGACCCCTAGATATCTTCAAGATTTCTCACTGTCTTGAAGGCCCCTAGCTCTGTTCAAGACCCATAGCCCTCAAGACCCTATACTGTTTTTAGGTCTCCTGTCCATCTTCAAGACCCTGGCTCACGAAATCGTAATGACACGATTGCAAACAAACTGCGGGTTCAAATCCCGCCCGTGGTATGGTTTTTTAAAGACCCTGTCTTAAGATCCCAGTTAACTTAAACATTCATAGTTATTTAAAAGGCCAAGGCTGTCTTCAAGAACCCTGGCAGTCTTTAAGACCCCTGGCAGTCTTCAAGACCTTTGGCTATCTTAAAGACTATAGTCAACTTAAAGACCTCTTGTTATTTGGAAAAGCAGAGGCTGTCTTCAAGATCCTGGCAGTCTTCAAGACCCCTGGCTGTCTTCAAGACTCCTATCTTTAAAACTCCTAGCTGTGTTCAAGACCCCTCACTGTCTTGAAAACCCCTGGCTGTCTTGAAAACCTTAAATATGTGTTCAAGACCCATAGTTATCTTCAAGACCCTGGGCTCTCTTCAAGACCACTGACCATCTTGTCTTCAAAACCCTTACTGTCGTCAAGACTCCTAGCTGTCTTCAAGATCCCTAGCTAACTTCAAGACACCTAATTGTTTTCAAGATCCCTAGCTGTCAAGACTCCCAACTCTCTTTGTAACCCATAGCTGTTTTTAAGACCTTTAGCTGTCTTCAAGACACACAGACATTGGGCTGATTTAAAGACCCCTAGCAGTCTTCAAGAACCATGTCTTTCTTCAAGATTTCTTGTAGTCTTCAAGATCCCTAGCTGTCTTCTAGACCCATAGCTGTTTTCAAGACCCCTAGCCGCCTTCAAAACACACAGTTGTCTTTAAAACCCGAGGCTATCTTCAAGACCCCTGTCTCGAAGACCTCTCATTGTCTTCAAGACCATTAGGTGTTTCCAAGTCCCCTGGTTGTGATCAAGATGCCTAGCTGTCTTCATTACCCTTGTTTTCAAAACCCCTAATTGTCTTAAGACTCCATTCTGTCTTCAAGACCCATTACTGTCGTCAAGACTCCTAGCTGTCTTCAGGACCCCTAGCTGTCGTCAAGACCCCTGACTGTCTTGAAGACCCATAGCTGTCATCAACACATCTGTTCTCTTGAAGACTGCTGGCAATCTTTAAGTCCCAAGGAAGTCTTCAAGATCTCTGGCTGTCATAAAGGCCTTTGGCTCTCTTCAATAATTCTAGCTGTCTTCAAGATCCCTTGTCTTCAAGAACACTAGCTGTCTTCAAGATCCCTTGCTGTCATCAAGACCCCTGGTTTTCTTCAAGACCCCTAGTTGCCTTCAAGGCTAGTAGCTGCCTTCAAAACCCCTATTGACTTCAAGACTCCCTGACAGTCTTCAAGACCTCTCGCTGTCTTCAAGACCCCTTGGCTGTCTTCGACATCTAACTAGTATTAACTCCTATAACAATGTTAACACCAGCAATGTTAACGTCCGAATTTACTCGGTCATAATGTTTACATGGTTTTTTGTCCTACTCCTGCCGTGCATCTGGGTTCCCGTTCTCTATTTCTGACCCAAAAAACAAGCCTTCTGTGAGTCCCTCCAGCTAAATGGTGTCTGTTCGCTTCCCATTAGTCGAGAGACCAAAATGTAAACAATTCTAGCTTGGCATCGCCTAGAGACGTTTTTTTCATCGAGTGACACTCATATATTCTTAGATTTTACCCTCTACAGTGTCGGTAAGTACTGATTTGTGTCTAGTGAGCAAATTAATAGTTTAGCCAGATTTTAATATATATAGAAAGTCAGTGTGAAGCCTAATATGAGTGCACCATGCAAATGAAAAAAGTGCAACAAAAAAGAACCGAACAAACTCGTTCGTTCCCCTTTAGGCCCCATTTTAAATTTCACTAAATAAATA